AAATCCTTTGGTTGATATTTTTTATCCCCTCATTCCCTGCCTTCCCTCATAGGTGGATGCTTTTATGTCTCTGGTTCTATTTTTGTTCATCAATTTATGATATTCATTATATTCCACAAATGAGTGAGATCATGTGATACTTATCTTTCTCTGACTGGCTTATTTCGCTTAGCATAATGCTCTCCAGCTCCATCCATGCTTTTGTAAATGGTAAGAATTTCTTCTTTTTTATAGCAGCATAGTATTCCATTGTGTAGATGTAACACAGTTTTCTAATCCACTCACCTTTTAATGGGCACTTAGGCTGTTTCCAAATTTTAGCTATTGTAAATTGTGCTATGAACATAGGGGTGCATATATCCTTTCTGACAGGTGTTTCTGTTTTCTTGGGATATATTCCTAGAAGTGAGATTACTGGGTCAAACGGAAGTTCCAATTTTAATTTTCTGAGGAAACTCCATACTGTTTTCCCACACTGGCTGTACCAGTCTACATTCCCATCAGCAGTGCAAGAGGGTTCCTTTTTCTCTGAGTCCTCACTACCACTTGTCATTTGTTGATTTGTTGATGATAGCTATTCTGACAGGTGTGAGATGGTACTGCGTTGTCGTTTTGATTTGCATCTTTCAGATGATTAGTGACTTTGAGTTCCTCTTTTCCTTAACTGCTGACTTCACAGCTTTCAGTGTGCCCATTGCAATCAGAATTTGATTTTTCTTCAGTCCTCTACGCTGCATGTGGTAAATTCATATTCTTTCTGGCCTAGGATGTCTTTACGGAGTTTTCCACTTTTAATTCATTTTTTAGAAGTATCTTTCTTGTCAAGAAAACTGTAATATATTTGGCTTTTCTATCCAAAAATGGGAAAAGTCCCTGACTGATTGTTGGAAAGTGAAATTACATAAATATGCATATTTTCCCATGGATTATTTAAAAAAAAAATAGGGTCAGATATCTCTTTGATTTTTCTAAATACAGATGTTGCTTATTTTTTCCTTCCCAATTTTATAAAAGTCGTCTTTTTGATGAAACTATTTCTCTAGTTCAAAACATTAAGGTAAAGAAAAGAGCAGTCAGCAATTTCACTTGTGGTGCATATACAAAGGCAAGGGCGCCGCTATTTGGAAGAGAGAGTTGCACTCCCGTGTTCATTGCAGTATCATTCATAGAAGCCAAGGTATGGATACTACCTAAGTGTCCATCAACAGATGAATGAATCAAGAAAAATGTGATATATTTCCTTTAAAAAAAGGAAATACTGTCATTTACAACAGGGATGAACCTTGAGGGCATAATGCTAAGTAAAAAAATAATAATAATTTTTAAAAAGCCAAACAAACTCTGTGTGGTTGCATAATATCACGTAACTCAAACTCCTAGAAACAGAAAGTAGAGAACGGTGGCTGCCTGAGGCCGGGGGTGGGGGTGTCGGATAAGGAGAGGCTGGTAAAAAGGTACAAACTTTGTCCCCTTTGAGTTAGAAGATAAATAAAGTCTGAAGATCTAATGTATACAAATATAACGTGGTGCCTATATGATAATACTGTTTTGTATCATTGAAATTTGCTAAGAGAGTAGAACTTGTTCACACACACACACACACACACACACACACACACACACAAAGGTGTATATGTGTGAAGATGGAACTTCTTATTCCAGGGAACAGGTTATGTAGCCATACAACCATTTGGAGAAACTTGTACACAAAGCCATGGCGGTTCATTACACCCCACGGTTGTAGAGGAGCTGGTGGATCCTATCACATAGATTATTTAGTTTAAAATAAAAAAGCATCGTCAGTGGGTTTTGGTATTCAAAGCTTCCATCAGACATCAAAGAGATGTTCCAGCTTAATTCTCATGCTGTGATCTATGAGTTCAGAAATAGCATGTTGTTCACAACAATATGTGAAAACGAGACTCTCAGATCTGCCCAGCGTTGTGGTCTCGGCAGGCGCGTTAGCACCATCAGGCTTACCTCTCTAAGTGGTGTGGCTTCAAGAAGGTAAATGAATGGAGGGGGTTGGGGGTTGGGAGGGAAAGGCTGAGCAAAGCTAATGGAAAAAAAAGGTTGATTAAAAAAAAAAAAAAGTTGTGCTAGGGTTTGTGTGAAGGATAGTACAAAGCAAAGGGAAATGTATTTTTTGTTTTTTTGTGATTTTTAAATATATTTTATTGATTTTGTACAGAGAGGAAGGGAGAGAGATAGTTAGAAACATCAATGAGAGAGAGTCATCCATCAGCTGCCTCTTGCACACCCCATACTGGGGATGTGCCTGCAACCAACTTACATGCCCTTGACCGGAATCGAACCTGGGACCCTTCAGTCCCCAAGCTGATGCTCTATCCATTGAGCCAAACCGGTTTCGGCAGGGAAATGTTTTTGAGCAGATTATTGGAGCAGTCATTGTAGGGGGGACATTTTTAAAGATCTGTTCAATATGAGGTCTTGATTGGACTGAGGTCAAGTAAGAGAATTCTCAGTAGAAATGAAACCTGGGCTACATCAGGCTATAAAAATGCAGTTCATGGGTGTTCTAGTGATTTTTTTTTTTTTTTTTTTTTTTTTTTTTTTTTTTTTTTTTTTTTTTTTTTAGCCTGGTCAGTTCTCAAACCCTGATTCTCCCAAGGCTGAATCAGGTGCCCTGGGGCGAACTCCCCTGTCACCCTGTATTGAACCTGCAGTAGGTGTACCAACCGCATTGCTGTAAAACTGGTCTTTCACTACCTAAGCCAATTAAGCAGAGACAGGGTGGAGTCATAAGATACAAGGTCTGAGTGTTTATTCCAACAGCGCTGGCAGTATGGGGGAGCAGCAGATCATCCACAGAAACCTGCTCTACCCTTCCCCACACGCCAGCTGCTTGTGTTGGGTAGAAGGACAATGATTGATTACATGGGAAAGTAGGACTTACAGGCATGGAAAAGTAGGCAGAGTATAAAGGTTACAGGTTACAGGCAACGGGGGTTGGAAAGGGGAGGGGTTGCAGAAGGCTGGGGTCGCAGAGGGCGGGTGCCTCTGGGGGAGGGGCAGACCAGATGGTTGCAGCAACAAAGTTGTTAATCCAGGCAGTTCTCAGAAAAGGAGGATGGACTGCATTCCGAGGTTAGCTCCCACGTCCCAGGGCATACAACCCTCAGCCCGCTTAGAATGTGCTTTCTCTCATCAGAACAGAACCATCATGACTGATATTTCTTATAATATCTTGTCCCCAATATTCTATTTCTGCCCCTAACATTTCTAATGATCTCCTTTCTCTGTTCGTATTCTGTGTGGACTGGAAGGAAAACCCTATCCTGGCTTATCCCCAACACACACCAAACACATGTCTGTCAGTAGTTTTCAGTGAATGTCTGTTGATTAAATGAATGAGTGATTGGATGATTGTTTATGTGCAGAATGCGAATGGCATAGTAAAACACTTTTGCCAGTGATCCATCAGCTTTACGGAGATCTTATGCCTCTCAAATGACTTTATATCACCTTCAAAATGGGCAAGATATTAATAAATAGTTTGATGATATAAAATTTAAAAACATGACTCTTTATATTACCACTGTAAAATATATAGTGTCTGTGTTTCAAAAACAAAATCTATACCTATTGATGCTGTAGAGAGTGCTCCTATTGAGCAATAGTGTTTGTGTTTTTAAATATAATACATGGGAACTTCCTGAGTCATCACTTGAATTGAATATAAATCACATCTAATCTGGGTGGTAGCATGTTCCTCACGAGCTCCATGCATGAATAACAGAGAAGTCCTTTAAAAATTATTCTTATATGTTTTATGTTTGTTAGCTTGCTGCCATGAATTTGATTTTCATATGTTTTCAACTTTTTTTGAAATCAAGTACGATTTTCGATACAAACACAACTTTAAAACACTGCACCGTGCTTCTCAGAGGTAGGTAGCAAAGGATAATTCACGTCTGAGATCCTTACTTGTACTCCTTGGACAGCATGTGAGGAAAGAGAGAATCCCAGAGCGGACAGCTGCAAATTGTCCTGGGATTTCGTCTGTCCTTTGGGAATTGTGTTAGGGTTTCCCACTCTCCCTCCCGTTTTCACTTTGTTTATTCCGAAGAGGTGGCAACAGACAGGGAGGCAAGTGAGGTTTCTCCTCCCAAATTGGGTTGCTCACCTATGTGTGAGTTGTTTTCTCCACATTCCTTTTTAAAAAGGAAGGATTGCATTCTGGGAGCCCACACCTGTGGTCTCCCACCTGATGGGGTGGGAGAAGGTAAATTCCCTTACCCAGGGGATTATCTCCTTTGTGGTTCATCAGAGATCAAATTAAGGCACAAGACTCTGAAAGAGATAGACAACTGCTTTAATTTCTTCACATGCCTACATTGCTCAACCCTTAAAACATTTCTGCTAGCTAGCTAAGCAGAAAATGGACAAAAGTAAATTGAAGACCTTGCCCATTCATCCTCCAAAACAGTGTCATTTCCGGTCAAATAAAACACTGAGATATTTGCAGAACCCACCAGGAAAGTGTAAACTAGTCCATGGCCCAGCCAAGGAGGAAGGCCACCTCCTCCTGGCAAAACCTGAGAAGCTGAGGTCAGGCCTGCAGGGCAGGACGGGGAAGAACTTTTTAGCCGCCCAAACGAAGTGCATCTCACGAGCATGCTTTCCTTCCTCTGAAGGCTTCTGATACTCCAGATCATTAGCAAACGTGCTTGCATGTGTCTGCCAAGTAATAGTGATCAGATATTTATTTGAGTGAATGAATGAATAAATATATTTTTTATCTCCTTAAAGACTTCAGCTACGTGTGGAGTGGGGGCCGTGTCTTCTACTCTTGCTTGCTGAGCAGGGGTCAGGTGGGATGGTCCATGTTGCATTGCGTTCTGCAGGGCTCAGAGCCACCCCCAGCATAGGGAGGCCGTGCAGGAATCCTGGTAACATGGCTGGCCCCACAGCACAGCAAGACACCCAGACGTGGGTTTTGTCTCCCTCATTCTGATCTAGCTTTGGCTTCTTGCAGGTGCGCGCCTCTTGACTGACCCAGCAGGAAGGCGGATTTTCTTGGTGTTTAAAGCGAAGAAAAATGTCCCCGTGTCTGTAGAGATGATTTGCAGTTCAGCCCGGCTGAAGCTGAGCGAATGAGACTATGGGCTGTGCCTCCGCCAAGCATGTTGCCACTGTTCAAAATGAAGAGGAAGCCCAGAAAGGGAAAAACTACCAGAACGGAGATGTGTTTGGCGGTGAGTGCCCTTGAACTTCAATCTTGACATGTTGATCCAGGCCTTTCACTTTCGAGGGAGTGAATCCCTGTAGTGTTTATGATGTTATACCATTGGGGGGGGAAGGGGATGTAGGGAAAGGGTTGAGATGTGAGAAAAGTCAATGCAGATTTCATACATTGGACAGTTTTCATTATAATGTATACACAGAGGATTTCACGAAGGACCATGAGGGTTTTATGCCAAAGCTAGCATTTAAATCAAGTTTTCAGTAGGATGTAAATAGGTGTCTAGAGCAGCATCCCAAGGGTGTCCTAGTAAAACTATAAGCCTGAAAACAGGTCCAAAAATGGAGAGAGTGGGGATTAATAAATGAGAGAGTGAGGTATTTTGGGGGGTTAATAGATAGTTACTCTTTATGTGAATGATAACATTTCTGATTCACAAATACAATGAATTGAATAATAATTTTTCAGCCTTTCTATGGTGTTTTAAGGTGATTGTAGAATATCTAGTGAGAAGGTCACAAACTGCTGACTTAAGGGCCCATCTGGCCTGCAAATATAGGGTGAGCCTCAAAAATGTATTCACACGCTTCGGATAATTATAAAGACGGTGCTTATTGGAACGGATTTCATTTTCAAAACGGAGCTGTCGGCGTTAAGTGTGTGGATGGTGGGGTGGGTGGCCATTTCCTCTTCATCTGGCTGCCACCTCAGTGACCCGCTAAGCCTCCCTGGCTGTCAGTTCACTCACTGCCCATGGCTTTGCCTGCCTGGCCACTCCTAGGCTTTTGAGTTCACCTAATCTTCAGTTTGTTCCTTGGAAGATCATGTACCGCTCCGATGAAGTATTGCCTGTGTGCTAGTAAAAACCCATTGTCTATGTGTTAGGACAAGGCAGCTGGAGCAGTTTTTGTTGAGTTACTTGATCAGTAATACCCACTAGTTGCATTTGCACGGCTCTTGTATTCATAAAAGCACCTCTTGATCTTGTGTTTGATCAAGAACCTCGTTGAAATAATGTTCGCATGCAATCAGCTGGAGTTGCACTATGCGGTCATTGTCACACAGTTCTACTGCCTCTAGCGCCCCTCGGCTTTGGTCCAGGGTCATGGTTGGCTCAGGCCCTTGGTGAAGAGTTGGGAGTGCTGTGGCAGCGCCAGTGCTCTGCTTGCGGTGGACGAGTGTACCTGGGGGAGGAGGATTTTGTTTCTTTATGAAGTACTAGCCTGGCCAGTGTAGCTCAGTGGGTTGAGCATCGACCTCTGAACGAGGAGGTCACAGTTCAGTTCCCGGTTAGGGTACATGCCCAGGTTACAGGCTCGATTTTCAGTGTGGGGCGTGCAGGAGGCAGCCGATTAATGATTCTCTCTCATCATTAATGTTTCTACCTCCCTCTCCCTTCCTCTCTGGGATCAATAAGAAATATAAAAGTTTGGGGGGGAAAAAAAAAAAAAAAAAAAGGCAGTACTAGTTTCCTGGAACAAATTGCTTCTAGTGTTGACTACCTAGGCTTGAGAGCTATGGAGAACAGGAACATAGCATCTTAATAAAATTAGAATCTACATCATTGAAACCACAGTTTCGGGGAAGATGGCTCATTGGAACCTAAACATCCATTCGCTAACTTAGTTACAACTTTTATAGCTGAGGAGACTTTCTGTTGCCCTAACGTACCATTTGTATTTTGCAAATGTTAGTATTGAATAAAGGAGCTTTGGGTTGGGCGACTGTTGCCTACGGATCTCAGCGGCATTCAACAATGAGCACGTCTTTCTCCGTCACAAATTGGCGGGTCAGCTGGAGTGGCTCTGCCCCAGGTTTTTCATCTTCCTCCTGGGACCAGGGGCCAAGGGGGCATGCCCTCCTTTTGCGAAGGGTAAATACACAAGCGATATATATAGAGTGCCTTTTAAGCCTGGGCTTAGAGCTGGCATGCTGGCACTGGTACCAACACTCAAGCCAGGTCATGTGAACAGTTTCAGAGACAAGAGACAGTGAAGTACATCCAGCCACAGTGTGTTCATGGCAAGGCTGTGAGGGTCAAAAATTGAGGCTGATAATCCAGTCCAGCTCGAGCCTGCCTAGTCTGTGTGGCTCCATGCCGTCCACGCCCAGGCCATAAAGTGCAGCTGAGGCCTCTGCTAACTTTTCTTATCCTCCTAAAACACTTATGAAGTGTTATTCACTCCTGCTTTTGTCACCTCGTTGTTCTCTCTAGTAAACATTTGCAGGAATACAATGTGGGAGAGAGCTCCCAAAACCAATCAGGGGATATTTTTTCTTGTCCTACAAGGGCCTAGGGGGAGGATTGTCAGAGCCCAGGGTTGCACGGTGTCCTGGCTACTACTGGATGCTAGTGCTTGAACATAACAACAGCAGGTCCTATCTGTGTTTCTCCATTGAAATTTGTTTGCAAACCGTGGAAGTGTACAATGCCCAATGTGATCACAGTTGGTCACAGGTGAGTGATAGATCTGGATGGACCACTTTTAACCATGTGAGAGCTTTTCTTCTTAAAATGTATTTTTATTCATTTCAGAGCGGAAGGGAGAGGAGGGGAGAGAGAAAGAAACATCAATGATGAGAGAGAATCACTGATCGGCTGACTCCTACAAGCCCCTACTGGGGTCGAGCTTGAAACTCGGGCACATGCCCTGGCTGGGAATCGCACTGTGGCCTCCATAGCCTTCATGGGTTGAGGCACAATCACTGAACCATACCAGCCACCCCCACTTGATACCATTGTCACCCACTGTTTCAGTATAACAAAGTGCCCAACCCTTAGTGGCTTGAAGCGGCACATGATTCTGTGGGGTAGCTGGGCGTCATCTGCTGTTTCTGCCTGAGCTCACTCAGTCATGCAGGTGCATCCAGCCAGGATTGCAACTCGGCTCCACTGACCCACAGGGCTCTAGACTTCCCTGTCCCCTAGACCTCTTTCTGGCTGGTTAGTCCAACTTTTCACATGGGTGTGTGCTTCTGCAAGATAAAGTAGAAGCTGTCAGCCTAATACCTGGGCTTGAAAGTCCAAGAATGTCACTTTCGGCACAAGTCACAAGACCTAGACAACGTCAAGGGAGCCCAGAGGCTCTCCATCTCCTGGGTCTGTGCCTCAGGGCGGGGAGGACCTGTTGGGGATCCATCTTTGGAGACTGGTCACCACACCCCTGGAGGGAGGCAATGAGAACTCCGTGACCAGGTTATATTCCAACCCGGGCAGTTCTATTCTGCTTTGTACGTCACGCATCCTTCCTTTTAATGACTAAAAGTAGCTTCATTCACTTTTTAAAAGCTAAGTGTTTGAAAATGTTATTACCATGTGTTGGCTAATGTGTTGACAGAGTCTGTGAAGCGTGTTGTATTTGGGGATCGGCTGTGGAGTATGTGTGCGTGCACACATTCGATCCTTTTCCTAAAGGTGTTAATTTAATTTTGTAGCTTCCGAGGACATGCTGGGGAGCATTGATTAAGCAATGTGTTTCGACAGATGGTACTTTCTGTTATTATGAAGCAGTTTGATCTCTGTGATATTTTGGTTTACTTAGGAGACTGGCCACTCCAGATGTGTGAGACAGAACTTATGTAGACTGTGCCACCATTAAGGACTGAGTGAGAAATGGGCACCTTGATTTCTAGATCTCATAGAATTCAGGTCATTCACGTGGGAATGCCATCAAAGACAGGTTGGTAACCCTGGGTACTGCTCACGTAACACAGGGACAGGTGACATGTTGTGGAACTGCGCGCCTCAAACATGTATACTTTTGTTAGCCAGTGTCACCCCAAGAAACTCAACTAAAAAAGAAAGTTTGTTGAATTTGAGTACATAAAAATTTTAAATCTCTGCATGGCAACAAACAAGCCAACCATCATAGATGAAGTTAAAAGGCAAATGTCAAACAGAGTGAGAATAATACTTGCAACATAAATAAGATGAGCATGACTAGTCTCTTAAAATCTGTAAGGAAAGAACTAACATTCCAGTTAAGAAATAGGGTAAGTTTGCCAAAACCGGTTTGGCTTGGTGGATAGAGCGTTGGCCTGTGGACTGAAAGGTCCTGGGTTCGATTCCGGTCAAGGGCATGTACCTTGGTTGCGGGCACATCCCCAGTAGGGTGTGTGTAAGAGGCAGCTGATCGATGATTCTCTCTCATCGATGTTTCTAACTCTCTATCCCTCTCTCTTCTTCTCTGTAAAAAAAAATCAATAAAATATATATTAAAAAAGAAATAGGCTAAGTTTATAATCAGGCAATTGAGGAAGAAAAAAATAAAAAAGGACAGTGCACATGCAGAAAATATATTTGACTTCTTGATAATTAAATAAGACACGCACACCCCAAAGCAAAACAAAACAGTTTTCAGCATTCAAATTGGCAGGGACAGGCATCTGTCTAATGCTATCACTGGTAATGTCAAACCAGAACTATCTCTCTGGGATCCCAAAGAGTAATATAGTAATTAATAAATATATATATATATATATATATATATATATATATACACACACACACACACACACACACACACACACATATTAGAGAATGCCCTTTGCTCAGTCAGTGCCACTTCTAGGAGTTTATCCTAAGGAGATAATTGGACAGGCATGTAAATCTGAACACTCAAAGGTCTTTCTCACTGATGAAACATACAGGGGTGGGCAAAAGTATGTTTATAGTTGTGAGTACGCAGATACAGTTTATTCTTGTATTATTATTTATTTATGCGATTAATAAATAAACTTATTATTATAAATCTTTGGCCCACCCCTGTGCATCGAATCAGTCATTAAAGATGAGGTACTCTGTATTTATTGAGGTGGGAAGAGATCCACAGCATGCCAATAAATGAAAAGTATAAAAGGCTTTACCCAGCATTCCTTGTCTGTCAGTTTGCTTTGTTTGGGTACATGTCAAACTCTGCGCACAAAAGAAATGTCTGGAAGGCTGTTCACCAAAACATTAACAATGGCAAACTCTCTTTCGTGGTGTTTCAGGTGGTTCTTAATTTGTCCTTG